AAGTGAATACCCCCTTTGAAGAAAAGATATCTACCACACCTAACTATCACACCTAGAAACACTCAAAGTCATATCGAACCGGGAAAAGGATGTTCACCACACCCGAATTAACTTCCACAACCCCCAAACCACAGCTTGACCGTTTCTACTTTGATTCCTCTTAAAGTATTCTATATGGGCGGCTGAGCTTGTCCCTTTCTTGTCCCCTGAATGTAGGAGCACTTGCCTTAAAGCTGCTGCTACTTCTGCCGGCACCTTTACTTTCTTTTGTCCCAAATTCATGAACTTGATTCAAACAGTCAAATCTTTAATTTCTTCTCTTGAATATAAAACACCTTTGGTTTGTGTTTTAGACACTTCTCCCACAAAACCCATATCAGCAAAAGCATTTCTTGACCCCTCCAAGTAAAAAGTCCTTAGAAAAAAATTCTAGGATTTTGGAAATGGAAGGTATAATGAGCCATGAAAATGACCTTAATTTGAAGGCAACTGAACTCAGATTGGGATTGCCAGGCACAGATGAACCTACTTCTAAGAATAACAAGCGAGCCGCGAATGAATTGGTCGAGGACAGTGAATTATTAAAGGGAAAGTCCGATGCCAAAGCCGGAGACATTGAAACTGCACCTGCATCTAAGTAAGTCACTATCGAGTATTCGTTACATTTAATAGGTAATCCTAATATTCATGCCAGGTAAAGAATTATAGGATGCCATTTTTGAGATAGATAGAGAAGTTTAAGGTCACTAGTACTTTAATTCTTTGTTATACTGAAAATTTATAGCGGCAAAGTGGATATAACTCTCATACTGAATATGAACAACTATTAACATGATAAATGTACACAGGTCACAGATTGTTGGCTGGCCACCGGTGAGATCCTACCGAAAAAACGTCGTCCAACCCAAAAAGACAGAAGCTGAAACTGGGAATTATGTAAAAGTAAGCATGGATGGAGCCCCTTATCTCAGAAAAATAGATCTGAAAATTTACAAGGGATATCAAGAACTCCTCAAGGCTTTGGAAAACATGTTCAAACTCACTATAGGTAGGATATTATAAACTTTACAATTCTTCAAATTATGTTATTTTTCAGTAGGGTGTGGGTCGAGCTATTTTACACGTATGTGCTTGCATCTTTTGCTACGACCTACCCAGATAATCGAAACTGGGTAGATTGTATTCCCCTTTTGTTATTTCTCTAGTTGTTCTAATGAATGTATGATTTTGTTGTACATCAACAGGGGAGTATTCAGAAAGGGAAGGCTACAAAGGATCTGAATATGCACCAGCTTATGAAGATAAAGATGGTGATTTGATGCTTGTCGGAGATGTTCCATGGGAGTAAGTCTCTCGACCGGGCGACTTACTGCATTTAATTTCATAATATTGTTTAGTACTGTACAATCTATGTTATCGAAACCCGAGTACTCATTTTGTTATTCATATGTTTTGTGCAGCATGTTCATATCAACCTGCAAGAGACTCAGAATTATGAGAGGATCAGAAGCAACTGCCTAGGTTCTGGTGCATGAATCATCTGTTCATATGACAGAAACAAAAAATGTTATCACAGATTTGGTTCCAAAAGAACCTTAAATTTGAAATTTTCTTGTACCAAACAGTTTTCTCCAGGAGACTAGTAAATTACAGTTTTCTTGATACAATTATAGCAAGAAACATTTTGTGTTAATGTTTTGGTTGTGATAAATTCATCAAATTAACCAAAACATACAAAGATACTAACATTTTTTTGTCAAGCTAATTATTTTAGAAAGATATACGTAAAGGGCAAAAAAAGATGTCGACGAATGAGAAAAATAAAGCGACATTTTGCTTTCGATTTATGTATATAGGTCAATAAACAACTTTAAAAAACAATAATACCAAGGCATTTATATCAAAAAAAAAAAAATCTCGATAGCAAACCTATTCATGAATTGAGACAATTTCTCCTTTCAAAGACCATTCCTAAGCACAAAGAGAATGAAGTATTCTCCAAATCAAAGAAAATATTTTTTTTAACCAAAAAAGGTAAAATATTTGAATACAGCAACCACTAAAAATGAGAGACAGAAAGATTCCATTTGCAAATTTTAATGAGTAGCATTATTTAATGTAGTATTACTTTGAGACAGAGCATCCAAAGTCATTCCAAATCATCATGCTAGCTACTTGGTGGGCATGATATACTTTTGATAATTTTTTATATTTTGAGAATCTTTTCGAGCAGTGAAGAAAATCTTTGAGCTCTGTGGGCATTGATTTTTTAAAACCATTATACAGATCATACGAGATAATTTATCATTTGATTATGAATAATGCTATTCATGGTCAATTTTTATCCATAAGTAGCGACATAATATTTAGATGATTTTAATTGATTTATCATCTTAATTATAATGTCACATCACACTGATCCATAAGCACCATTTGGAGCCCTGTATTATAAAAGCTGACATTTTTTTTTGGGACTTAGATTTTGTGTGCTAAGTTTGATTTAGCCTTCTGCAGTTTTACTTCTCAAGTAACTAGCATGTTAGGATGAAATTTCCTAGGCAATGGCGTATGAGTTGAGATTTGCAGTCTTGAACTCGTTCTATTGACTGTTCTTCAATATATTTTTTAATATTCAATACATCGCCTCTTCTTAATAATGAAAAGAAACATAGTTGTTGACACATGGTTACATTACATTTTGACATCTTTTCATTTGCTAAGAAATGTGATATGCCAGTGTTGTCAAAACATATTAAGACACAACAGGTTCACGCCATCAAATCTGGTGTACATGTTTCAACTTTGGCAAGCTCTAAGACGAGAACCTATAAACAGATTTGAAACATAGTATTATATCACACTAAGCAGTACGGTAGATAATTTTTTTTTACCATTTTTTATCTTAGTTTTTCTGTCTTTTCCATCCACATGTCCAAACTTACCATATACCATATATGTATCACTAAATTTCTTTTCATGATTTGAATCTTTGATCAATTGATTAGTAAAACGAAATTTTAAATGATGATTTTCGAAGAATACGTAACAAAAAAGTAGGGGAAAAAAATTGAGATTTACGTGTAGAATATTTTATTACGTGAATATTTGGCTGAAAATAAGTTTATAGAATTTTTTTAAAATATTGGTAGTCAAACAGGAGCTAAATAACACTGAAGACTTGATGTCATAAAGTTCCATTCCTGTTTTCAATATAAAACCAATTTAAGTTTATTTGGTAACTTTCAAGGTTAATAACATGAATCCATTCAGTAAAAGTTACATCAAAAGTCAAAACCAAATTATCTGAAGTCCAGTCAAATGCACAGAAGATGGAAATGTATGCAAATCAAAGTAAAATAAATTTTTAGGATTCAACAGAACATAATTGTCATTGGAAAAACATAACAAATAACTTAAACAACATGGTAGCTCGGTTACGAAATATCAAAAAATAACCAAATAACGTAAAAGGAACTTCAAATTCCGAGCAAAAGTTGAGAAAAAAGGGAAACAACAATTGAAACAACATCACAAGTAAGTGTCACATATTGCAGGCAAAACTACCCAACTTGTTGCTTTTTCTTCTTAGGTCTCCTTTTTCTTCTGGGTTTTCGAGCGTCTGAGTTGGAACTTAGATTACCGCTGTTGCCTGTGTTTGACTCCACAGGACCTCTCTTTCTGTACGAAGATCTACCAATGCTGTTGGATGTGTTGCTGGATGTTGATACATCAGCTTTACGTATGTATGCCTTCTTACTTGAAGATCCTCCGACTTTAGTTTTAAGTGAAGTAGGAACTGACTTGAAAGATGGTCCGGGAGGAGGCATTAGAGCACGAGCCGAAATCTGTCTCTGCATAAATATATCAAGAGAAGGTTAAAATGGAAAGGTACATCACTTAAACGCCTAATCTTAGAGCAGAAAATACGAAAACTAAACTAAAAACCTGAGTTCTTTCATCACTGGACATCCCGGATGTTGCTTTACCAGAAGCACTAGAAGCTTGTTCCCTGAAGACAAAATGGAAAGTTTCTGTTGATACCAGTTGAATCAAGAAAGTTTCAGGAGGAAAATGGGTTAGTATTAAATTCTCAATGCTCATTAAAGGTGAGATCTAAATAGGACGTGTTAATAAATTTAATGCACTCAAAATTCACCAAACTAACCTTCAGGTATTACAACAGAATTCAATGGTGTTTCGATGAAACATTACCTTTTTCTCTTAAAGCGAGACTCAGCCAAGCAATTGTACCCATGCACATAGGCATTTGAGATGTTCTACAAGACAAGCTTAAGAGGTGGACCAGCTCGACAGCCAACACATTTGAAAATGAGAAATAAATTTCTGTGAAGTCTCTATGCCTCTGTTCGGGTATGCTTATTAAAAACTTTTTAGGAAAAATAGTACCGTGTCCACAAAATGTGTGGATAATAACTAGGTAGCACTTATGAATGTGTGATTGAAATTAACGTTTTAACTTTGACAGAATATATAGAAGAACTTTTTTAACTTTTTAGCTTAGCTGAAATGTCTCAATATTAAATTAGATATACTGAGGCAGTTCTTAAGAGATCACATGCAATCAGAAATAAACTATAGTTGTCTCTTGACAGTTGAAATATCAAATATGTACCTTGTGCTTTTATCTGTCCACTCATCGTCTGCTTCAGCATCATCACTTGAGCTTCCATTTAAGAAGAAATCGTCATCACTTAGTTCCAAGAGCCCATCATCCTCACTCCCAGTCTCTGTTGCATGAGTCCAAACAAAAGACGTAAGAGTTGACCATTTAACAAAAAGAAAAAAGAAAAAGACACTAAAATAAGAAATATAACAAGTAAGTCATGCGTGAATCACAGAACAAACTCTCCCCCCTGTGGATACCAAGCGCTGGTTGGACTAACAATTTGGAAACCTCTGATAAGACATGTAGAAACTGGCAGCCTCAAAATTTGTCTATATGCATCTCTAAAATTTTAAACAATCATATGAGGATACTGTTCTATTGATAAGAAAAAGAGCAACTCGCGACATCATCATTCACATATTTATGCAAATGTATGGGTATTTCTTTGATTCATTTTCCTCTTGCTATCATATCTCAGGTTTATCAACTCCCTCTCTCAATTTTAAAGTTTCCAGATTGCGACAAGAAAGAATTAAAGAAGTGTCTAGGAAAGGAAAAGAAGAGGCATTGCAAGTGTCCAGGAAAAGATTAGGCTCGTTGGCTTTCAATAGTGCAATAAATCTTAACAAATGCCTTCTTAAGTTTAAATACAAAGATAAAAGTGGCTTCTGATATTTTACATACAATTTCCAACAAGTTCAAAATGATGAGAGAGATTCACTATCAAACACTTCACCCTCATTCAGATTTTAGATGATTATTGCCTATCCTTCTTTCTACAACTCCCTGTGTCTGAAGATCAGAGGCTCTTTTGGAAACTATAACTGTACTTGCACAATAGTCTTATCAACTTTTCTGCCACCTTTTCCATCCAGTAAAATCACTACAGTATTACCACATAAAAGAAGGGAACTTGGTGATTTCATCTTCTAATCAAAGTAAAATGCCACACGCAATTACAAGAGGATGGATACATGGTCATATTCGTCAAGCAAGCAAGCAAGCAAGCAATTTCATTGTATGTGCTTGTAAAATAGGTGCAGAAGTCTATGTGCTGTGCACCTGATTCAATCACAACCCTATGACACCTCTCCGAAATGATTAAACAACGAAAATATGACTTGGTTTTTGAAACTTAACTTTCTTATTGGGATCTATAAAACAGAAAGTATTGACTATAAAAATGGTTAAAGGATAAGTTTAATAGGCGGATATTGCGTATGAAAAATCTAGGTGTTCATCAATTCAGGCCCAAATAGCTCCGAGTTAAAGACAGGAGGTAGTATTTCCATTATCCTTTACTATCTTCTCTCTCAATGTTCTATGCTATATTTAAATATGTGGTCTAATTCGATATACTCAATTAAAAACTGTTAAAAATTTATTAGGTTGCATGTTCATCCATTCAGGCACAAGTAGCAGCGAGCCAAAGCCACGATGGAGTATTTCCATTATCCCTCACTATTTTCCCTCTCATTATTATATGTCATATTTTATAATGTGGTTTAATTCGGTGTACTCATTTAAAAACTGTTGAATTTGTTAGGTTATATGTTGACTCTCACTCTGGATATTCAGGACCTACATATTTAACATGTTATAAATCATAAGGAAGGATCACATCATTAACCTGTGACAACACTTCTAAAGTAACTCAATAGTCAAGAATCACGTAAGCTTCCACGAGTAAATGATTTTAGACTAACAAGCAATTCTTATCAAGAAAAGAAATAGTCTCAGCAATAAAATTAATCAGGCTAGAGTCAGGTGAATCAATGATATAAGAAGAAAAATGGATAGTACCTTCCAGATCCTTCCCACTTGCTGCAGCGCTAATTAGATTGTCCTTAATCTGTCTGCGCAATTTATTTCTTTTCTCTACAACCTCAGTTTCATCACCTCCCATAAATAATGAAACATATTTCTCTGTCTTCGGGAAGAACTGCAATTAATGACAAGTAATGCTCTTCAGCAATTAAATATGCAGACATAATTTGGAAATTAACCAAATGTATACTCAAATCTAAATTTATGCAAATTTCTACACAAAACTATGCCTTCCACTGTTTGTATATTGGCATCATCAGTAAGTATGCAAAAAAATTTTAACAGCCACGCAGTTCAAGCTTTAGTAAACTCCATGCAACAACTTTCTTGATCCAGGCAAACAAAATAGGGTTGTTTGAGCCCCATTTTTTAGGAATATCGATTTTGTAATAGTAATATTTTTAGGAAAAGAAGAGCATTAAGTGCATACAGCAATATGGTTTGCAGCTTACTCTAACATATTCAAGATCTTCTTTCAGTTTAGAAAGTTGCTGGGTAATATCAGTTTCCTGGGCTTGACCAGATGAAGCACGTTGCTGTTTTTCCAAACGTCTTATCCTTCGCTCTATTTTTCTTCTCTCTAGCCATGCAAATTTAAACTTCGAGTCTCATCAATCATCAACATGTACAGTAGCAAATACACATGAACATAAAACAAACTGCATAATCCTAATAGTGCTACTAGTTACCAAAAAATTTTATCTTTCTGTTACGCAAGAATATTTTACGCTCCACTGCCAGCTGGTTGTGTATCTCTTGTTGTTTCTTGAGTTCTTCTAACTTCTTCTCTTGTGCTTTTTTGACTTCAGGTGGCAAATCCTGCATGTTAGGTTTGTAACAAACTACGATGTCGTGCATTGGAAAATCAATAACAGTTCGAAGCAACAGATACAACCTTAGTTTAAAAGCAAAACCAATTGAAAGGACTATACAAAAACCAACCAGTTCAAGAAAGTAAACATGTTTCACAGACAATATTACTAAAACTTTTTCTTATCTGGAAATGAAAATAAGAGGTATAAGGAGACCAAGAAAGTTACAGGGATAAGAGAGAGACACTAAAAAATATAATCAGAATGGTTGCCAAGAATTACACGTACATTTAGTATAAAAAAAATTAGTTCCTTTCCTTTTGCAAACAAATAAATAGAAAGAATTCCTTTTTAACAGCTTAAATTTTGATCTCAAGCACAAAAATTGAATCGATGTTTGGGTAACAGTCAATAAAAATTACAATATAATCAAGCCTTTGAGAATTATGAATTCTTAACAAGTTCCAACTCCATTACCCTGCCATTCCTTTAAACACAGTATTAATGTTGCAATCAAGAACAAGATCAAACTCAGAAAGGAAAAAAGTACCAATTAAAAATTGTCCATATTTTTGATAAGTTAAGGAAGTTCCATGGTCTTTCACCGGCTCGATCACATTTTTAATCTCTAATAACATCCTTTCCATCTATGAGCATCCAGGAACAACTTCACACTCCATGTCAGGAACCACTTTTTTAGTGTTATTTGCTTATTTTTATCCTCCCTTTTCATATAT